CTGCCTGAGCTTCGCACTGGTCAACTTATCTGGCTCGCTGGGCTGGGGAGTCTGCTCGGCGACGCTCGGCGCTATTGACGGCTGACGGTCAGGAAGGTCTGCATACGCCGCCGCCTCCGCTGCCTCCCGCGCCGCCTCCACTGCCTTCGCCCGCGCAGCACGGGCCTCGGCTTCCTGCGACAGCCCGTCATCAGCAACTTTGCCCACATCATCGCCGCCATCGACAGGCTCCTGCGCGGCTGCCTGCGGAGCTGGAACACCAGGCGCATCACAAGCAACTGAAGCTCCTGAGGCTGGAGGGGGGTGGCATCGCGAGGAGGAGGCGCGGGTTGAGGCGGGAGGTGGATCCTCACCCCAGCTTCCCTCACATTCTCTTCCTCCAACCATCCACCCTCTTCCCTTCTCCTCCTCCTCCTCATCCTCCTCCTCCCCCTCCTCCTAGGGAGCTCCTCCTCTTCCTTGTATCCCTTCACCTCCACCTCCTCTCCCTCGCCGTCGCTCTCCTCCTCCCCCTCCCCATCGCCGCCCCCTGCTCGCTCCTCATCAACAGCGTTGCCGTCTGTCTTCGTTCCTCCCCGTCCCTGCGCCCCTATCCCCCCGATATCTCCCTCTCCTCTCCTTCTCCTTCTCCTCCTATGGTATCCGATGTCCTGCCGCTTTGCCGTCGGGCAGGTGCTGCGAGAGCGGCTCGTCGTCGCTGGAGATCAGCATGGGCTCCTGCGTGGACCGCGCAGCAGGGGGCGCGGGCGAGAGGGGGGGGCTCGTCTATCTTCAAGCACCCTCGACTCGTCTTACCTCTCCTCTTTCCGAGAGCCCAGACTCCCCACTCCATCCCCCTTGGCATTCCATCGTTCTCCTCCTTCTCCTCCTTCTCCTCCTCCTCCCCCTCCTCCTCTCCCTCCTCCTCCCTCTCTCCTCCACCTCCTCCTCCGCTGCATTGACCCCGCTTCCATTATGTGCTCACCTCGTCCTTAAGTTCTGTGTTCCTCCTCTTCCTCCCCCTCCTCCTCCCGAAACCAAATCAAGTGTAGTATCGCCCGTGATCCTCGCCAGTCGCCGTCGTGCTCGCCTCCTGGCCCGCCGCGAAGGCCGTCTGCTTGAAGGGCGCCTTGGGCGGGAGCGGTGAAAGCCAGCTGAAACTTTATGATAACTTTCTTGGAAGTTTATGCGGATTTTATGCGGATGTGGTTTCGCACCGCCCTGGACGAGGAAGAGGAGGAGGACGAGAAGATGAGATAGGAAGGAGGATGGGGAGGAGGAGGGCTGGGAGGAGGAGGAGGAGGAGGAGGAGGAGGAGGAGGAGGAGGGAGGGGGCAGGGTAGCGTCGAAGCCTGGGGGGAGCTGACAGCAGCCCCCTGCCCCCCTCCTCCTCCCCTCCTCCTCCTCCTCCTCCTGCTCCTCCTCCTCCTCCTCCTCCTCCTCCTCATCCCCCTCCTCTCCTCTGTCACCCGCAGTTGCCTCCTGGAACGAATCGACAAGCGTTGCGCCGTCTGCCATCTCGCTCGTCGACCAACGACCCTGCTTCGTGGCCTCGATGCCGCGGCGGGCGCGCTCGGCCTCCCTCATCAGCTCCGCTCCGATCTCACCATCCTTGGCTGGCACCGTGCTGCTGGCATCAGCGCTGGAGCTGCCGCGATGAGGGGAGCGGCTCCTCGTCATCGGCACTCTGCGGATGTACGTTCGAATGTCTCTGAACATCTAGGTCAATGACTTGACCCGCTTCGCTGCGGAGGAATGGCAACGATAGTTTGCATCGCATGACGCAGGGGCGAATAACCCAGACATTGAGGAGCTTGGCGGGAGGAGGTGGGTGATGAAGGGAATCCAGGGATGACGATGCACCATGATGCACGGGCCGACGGCGCATTTGGCAGCTATAAGGTTACCCCAGGAATTGTAATGTGGGAGGGCTCGGACTGCAACGACGCTAACGTGGAAACTGCAGGAAACCTCAAGGACACCCGAACCCCCATTGAGGAAATAGTAATGTCGAATCGCGGCGCAGGCTAAGTCAAGCCAGTTACGCCATGCAAGCGCTGTTTTTGGTGCTAGTGCGAGTACAGTGGGCGATCATATCGCACGCAAACTCGCAGCAACAAAAAATCAAAAGAAACCATCGCCGATGGAGGGCACGCACCATCCCTGGGCCTCACCTGCCTCGTTCTGGGCAGGCGCCGCGCTCCTGGCCCCACCCTTTGGAGGTGCCTGCGCCTGCTGCGGCGCCTGCTGCGGCGCCTGCTGCAGCGCCTGCTGGGGCCCTGCCGCTGCGCTGCTACCCGCTGGGGCGTCACCTTCAGGATCGGGCGGCGGCTCGGCGGCGCCGGCAGCCGCGCCGCCCGCAGGGGCTGCTGACTCGTGGTCGGAGTTGGCGGTCTTCTGCATCTTGGAGGGCTTCCTCAACACGGCGGCCGAGCACGCAGCAGCGGGCCTCTTCATCGCGAGCGGCTCTTCATCATGACTTGGAGCATCCTCCTCTTCCTCATCCTCAGGCTCGTTGTGCGAGGCAGCTTCCTCCTCTTGATCCTCACCATCGTGGTCGCCATCATCGAGCTGATCCTGCAGCTCCTCCTTCACGGCGGCCGCGGCCGCGGGCCTCCTCATCGCTGCAGCGGCTGGCGTCGCTGCAGCGGCTGGGCGCTTCTTGGCGATGCCGCCATGATCGTCCACCCAGCTCTTCTTGGCCTCCTGCACAGCCTCTTTGGTCATCTCCCCGCTGGCGAACTTCTTCCCGATGTCGACCATGAAGCTCTCCACCTCGCGCAGCTGGTGCTGCGGCTGCACCGTGATCTGCGAGACCATCGTTTTGGAGCCGCCGCTCTCCTTGATGAACTGCCACAGCGCGACGAACACCTGGTCTCTCCGAGTGTACCTGTCCACCAGGATGCGGCGCTTCTCGGAGTCATGGCCTTGCCACAGCCACCCAGCGCCCTTCTTGGACCTGCCCCCAGCTGTCTCCTCCCCTGCGGCGAGCGCGCCATGGCTCAGCCCTGGCACGATCCACTCGTCGTTGTCGTCCCAGCGCGCGGTGACGGGCGCGTCAGCAGCCTGCGTGGGATCGCACCGCATCACAGCGCTGTAGTCCAGCTTGCCCTTCGGGTTGTTCGCGTCCTTGCGCCAGGCAGCCTATCGGGCTGTGCGCAGATCAACTCATGATATCATATGTTCACCCTGCTCATGTCATCCATCCTCCTCTCTGCTCCCCCTCTTGTCCGTCCTCTTCTCCCCCGTGTCGCTCTGCCTCGTCTGATCAGCTCCTCGCCTAGATTTCTCGGCTTTGAAGACTACGCTCTCCTCATCATCCCCCACGTCCGCCTCCTCCTCCGTCTCTGTCCCTCTCCTGCCATTCTCGCGTATCCCTGATCCGACCCCATAGCATGTCACTGTTTATCCTCTCTCTCCCGCTCTCTCTCTCTCTCTCTCTCTCTCTCTCTCTCTCTCTCTCTCTCTCTCTCTCTCTCTCGTCTCTCTCTCTCTCTCTCTCTCTCTCTCTCTCTCTCTCTCTCTCTCTCTCTCTCTCTCTCTCCGATCCTGTTTACTTTTCGGTATGTGTAGTTTTTGTTTCTCTCTCTCTTTCTCTCTCTCTCTCGATCTATTGCCATATCCCCTATCGTGCTCTCTATCTCTCTCTTTCCCTTTCTCCCGCTCCCGCTGTCACTCCTCCGTCTGTATTTGCCTTCCTCCTCTCACTCAATCCTACCGCTCCTCCTCCTCCTCCTCCTCCTCCTCCTCCCCCTCCTCCTCCCCCTCTCCCTCCTCCTCCTCCTCCTCCTCCTCCTCCTCCTCCTCCTCGTCCTCATCC